ACATACAAGAGTTCCCCGGAAATGGAGCTAGTATCAGCTTTTTGGGGCCATTTCTGAGAAAATTGTGAAAATATAATTGATGCTTCATGTAAAATACTTCCCCAACACAAAAAAATCCATTTTGAAATTCGTAGAACCTCGATTACCTTTAAATCGATCTAGGAATATCAATTTTGGAAAATAGACTGAAATGGTTACGCGATAGCGTTTACCACGGACGGACAGTGACAGACGGATTGACTGACGGACTGCCGGACTGACTGACTGACGGTCTGACTGACGGACTGACTGACGGACTGACTGACAGACTGACTGACTGACGGACTGACTGACTGACGGACTGACTGACGGACTGACTGACGGTCTGACTGACGGACTAACTGACGGACTGCCTGACGGACTGACTGACGGACTGACTGACGGACTGATTGACGGACTGATTGACGGACTGATTGACAGACTGACTGACGGACTGACTGACGGACTGAATGACGGACGGACGGACTGACTGACAGAGTTTTTCTGCCGAAATGGCCAGACGCGATTCTGCCTATTCGTCCGACTGCATACCGCTGTCAGTTTTCCCGCTTTCCAGCTACTCCCCATTCGCATTTCGTTACCCGAGAAGTCATGGCCAGACAGTATCTTGTTTCGTTCATCCGCTGTGTCGGGTGTAAATATTTTTGTGTATTCGGTGTAAATATTATTGTTTATTTTCCATTTATAGGTGTCAAAAATAGATGCTCTCCCAGCAGTCCAGAGGAAACCTCTAATACAAATGAAAATGGCAGAATCTTGGGAATTGTGTATGATAAGACAGCGACGTAAGAAGATGTTCGTGATATGATGGTTTATGTTTTGTTTCCACGAACTTTTAAGTGTCGTTTTTCACATTGGCAATGCTCTAAAAGTGAAAATGTTTCTTGAAAACAGACAGAAGTGTATCAATCATAATCGATTAATATAATGCAAAACAGACCACGGTAAACGTAGAAATCAATCCATTCACTAAAGGGGGACGGGATGCAGTCGGGCTATGCTTTGGGGGAGGTAGGTAAACGGTTTACGAATAGTTGACCGCGGAATGTAGTCGGCAAGCGCCCATCGAGACGCCGGCAGTCAGGGAGAAAGATAGCCTTTGCACGTCCCCACTATATCTTAGATATTTTTCCATATATTCCATATCCAGATATTTTTCCATCCGTGACGCCACCTCTCGCCCCTCACCAGGCGACGCGCTGAGAGCTGTTGAAACGTCAGCCAGTAACCAGCACTTGCGTAGTAAACAGGAATTTCTTTACGTTCCCAAACCGAAATGTCTCTTGTTGAAAACTGCGTCGGGAGAGACACAGCTCCCTTAAAGCGGTCTCGAAGGTCATGATATCAGAATAAAGAATTCTAGCTGAACCTGTGCGAACATTCCGCACTTCGTAAAGAATTGTATTAAAACTGAAAATAACATAATATCGAATCATAACTACCAAGGTGATGGCCCTAAACTATGCGTCACAGCATTGAACACCTGTTATAGTTCGTGCAGAATTCTGCAGAAGAAACCTACATAAAATGGTTTTTCAAACCGCGCACGCATTCTGCTTAAGAACAGCAAATAAAATACAATTAAAACACTGCAATAAATGAGATATTTGAAAAAAAGAATACTTCAATAAGGTAGTCTTCACGAATACTGCAATAACGTAGAATAGTACATAGCATTATGTAGTATAGTATAGAATATAACCGTTCTTTACACACCAAGAATATCTAACACGTTTCTGTCCCATATGGCAATACGTGATTAGCAAGTATGTAAATGCAGGCGGCCTCTTCCTTGGAGACTTGCTGTCGCAAGACGTCAGTTTTCTGTAAGCAGTGTCGCATCGAGTATGAGAATTCAATTTGTACGCGCAGTATATAGGGGGAATAACACATTAAATATTTGAATTTTTCAGTCAAAATCGAAACTGTTTCATGGTTTTGAGATTTTCCCTAAGTTCCTGGGTATATAATAAAAACGTAGACACATCTCACGTGGCGAGAGGCTGCATAGTGCACTTTCAATTTATGCATGCATTGGAAAATGTAGTTAAAAGCTTACTACCAATATTAAAAAAACTAGAGTTCGTCTCTTCAAGCAACTCGTATAATACTTTTGGGCTATTGAATTGACAAATTTATTGTAGTCACATATTCGACCTGGGTAAGAAGATACATGTTGAGGCGGAATTCTCATACGTAAATTCTACTTCTTGGAAAGAGAAGATTTCGTGCCTTTATGATCAAGATGCAATAAAAAAATGTGATAAATGTTGCGGTAATTAGAATAGTGACGTCAGCGCAAGGTTTTGGTAATCAGTTTAACTGTTGATAACCAGAAAGAAGATTTCTCAGATGTGTGAAATATGTTCGGCGGTAGTTCCCAAATTTGAAAGTAAAAAAAAGATAAAAATCATTATGATTTATTATTTTAAGTCTATTTTACTCATGCAACTATATTTGAAGATATTGATTTCCTCTACTTGTTGAAAGCCACAGAAAAGTGCAAGAAAATTACTTATACGGTAATTTTCTTTAAATATTTACATTACATCTTATGTGTCACGAGTAAAAGTTGATTTGTTGAATTAAAATCCACATCTGTCTGACTTACACGATAAATCAAATAGAGTATAATTTTAATTAACAGGGTCAGTCAACAATCAAGTACTCCGAAATAAGAATGAATGAGAACATGTTTTAGGGTGATCTGTTCTGATTACAAATACGCCTGCCCCGAAAGCACAATTTTTTAAGGTCAAGGTACAGTTTACAGTTGACAAGTCAACTTGATGGAGGTTAAATGTCTGAGGTCAATAGTGAAGAGGGAGATGATACATCTTTTGTACAACTAAACAGGTCTTTGAACCGATCGCTTTAGAGATTAATAACACGAGATATTTGACTTCAGTCCAATAGGTCTTTTCCTAGACAGATGAACTTTAGATATAGCATTTGTTTTCGAGAGGTCAATACTCTCCATGGGCGCCTCATGTCAGGAAAGTTAGTGTAGCCTGTGTTGTCGCAACGCGCACATTGCAGTGTTCTCATATGTATTTCAAGATCTTATTGGCTGTCTTTATCGGCATTGTATTTTGAAGAGTTGCATTCTTTGAGGCAGAAAAATATTTCACAGTGATTGATAGACTCATTATGCGAGAAGTGATATCATAACTAAAATGTTTTCACTACATTCTTCACAATTTCAAGAGAGTGTTTATTCAGTGCTGCATAGTCGGCAACACAATTACACATGTATGAATCAAACTTTCAAACATCACGACTCAGTATTATTAAATCAGCGTCGATTGTCAAGTCTTTGGCCAGCCAACTCACAACTACACTCGGAACAGGTAGGGAAGTTCGAATTCATCTCTGCTAGATTGTGTAGCATGTTTAAGGGTACTTAATGTCGTTGCGGCTAAATGTTCCAGTAACCACAAAATTTTCATTTTGACAGGGCTTAATGTGATATTTTCATGTTTTCGTATATTTCGCGTCCTTTTTCATTTGTATGATGAGAGGAGGTATTCAGTAAAAGAAGGAACACTTTAGACAAGATATAATTATTCCCCTAACTCGTAAAGCAATAGCTTTGTGAACAGCTTTTTGATGCTACAATGCATTGTATAATTAATAATATCACATTATTTTAAAGAATATTCCGCAAAAGTTATCACTGAAAAGTGAGAGAATTTAGTAATGATGGTGATACAGACATCGTGGATCCTTAATTCGCCATCGCAGATGAATTTCAGTACTTTCAATAATTAGTAACAATAACAGCAACAACAATATTTTCAATAACAGTATAATTAATCAATTACAAAACCTGTTTAATAATTTGTAATTTCTATCTGTAAAACATGTAACAATAATATTATTTATTAAAAATAATAAATATGCAAATAAGTATAGTAAATGATCTAAGAGAATTCTAAAAAATAACGGCATTTGGAAACTTTAATGAACCTATAGAGGTAGTCAATAGCTCATTCCATTACTCTCAAGAGGAAGAGGAATCGATTTTCACTATTTTAGCCGAATTTTGTAGGGTATTCTGAAAGGATTCCAGATAAAACATGTTTGTGTGTGTGTGTTTGTGGGGGATGGGGATGAGATTTATGACACCTACAGTGTTGAAACTCTTTGAAATGCTGTCGTGTCTTTCCAACATAGCATCAGTCCTTAGTTGATAATTAAACTTAATTTTGTTATGAATCATAAACATTTCAAGAAAAGTATTTCATTGATACTTTTTAATGCAGTTTTCTATACCCCAGAATAAACGAGCGAAGCAAATGCTTAAAATTCCTTTTGATTATGAACTCACATAGCAAAAATATTTTACATTCTTAACATGAAAATACCCGTCGGAGGTGACAAGCAAAGTTATTAAGCCCATTATTAATAGGTTCTTCTCCCAGGCGTGGATAATAAAGTACAATAGGGTCCCTGGCCTGGAAACACCACTAAACGGGAAAAAACGGAATAATTCCACCCTAACATGCCACATACATTAGTAGCTACTTACGAGACAACTTTTTTCAGGACCTGTAAACAACTTGCGATGAAAAAAAATACAACCGCTGACGACGAAATTAATTATTACCTGAAATGAAATGTTTTCTTTAAAAAAATATAAGACATCATTCTCCCTGTCCATACACTAATATTATTCATATTCCTTGTTCACAATATCAAAGAAATACACAAAAATGTATAAAATAAAGAAAAAACTTAAAAAAAGAAATAAACATGAAACGAAACGTTATTCAGAACGTTCAATTATGTGATCAAGTTCAACAATTCCGAGATAATCTTCAATGTACATGTGTAAATCAATTATTACATTCGTTCATATATAATATGGAATATCCTTGAATGTGTTTTCTTACAACGAAATGTATTGAGAAGGGAATAAGCACAAGGTCGAATAGTTCGTAAAACATTTTTGTTTTCAGATAAGGGATCGTGTGGTCAGAGTACACTGAGAATAGTTTCTAGAGTGTAGTGCACTTGGTGATGTTAACGCATACGAACAGCCTCCAATTAACCTCTGATTTTCACTGTTAAATAGCCTACTATCTCAAACAACACGTACGTACAAATGTTTTATCTCTTGGTAACGTTGTGAATGAGTAATCATCAGAATGTTTTCCAGGGTTCAGAAGTATTTGATAGGCAATCAACAACACTTTAATTAAACAATTATCTTTAATTACTGTTCTCAGGTTCCTGAAGAAATGGCGGATCCGATGTGTTCATCAACGAGTCCACAAGTTCTCCAATTTGAAGACATTACGTCAGCTGCCTTCAAAATTAAATCTGGGATTATGGTTACACCATGTATAGTGAGTATAAGATGATCTCAAAGTTTTACCCCCAAAATAGTTGTTCGAAACAAATTCTGAGGTAGTACATTCCCTACAAAATAATATTTATATTATCTAACCCGAACGTCCATAAAAATTCAAATACCTAGATTTGGAGTGCACGTTTTCTTGAATTATTGTTGTTTTCTTTTAATTGACGCTCGACCAGTTGTGCTGATGTGAACAGAAAAATGAACAGGTGATATTTTTTCAGAGATCACATCTTTCCCACCTAACTGGAATGGAAATATTTCTTAAAAAAGACTTTCTGCAATATACAGGAAGGTAAGTAAATATAATACTTTGAAAATAATCTCCCGAATCAAAAAAATATACACCTTAGAGCCGCAATATTAATTTAGAATTATTTATTAGCATGTATTTGATCCAACAAATTGTTTAAACGATAAATAGAGATGGCACTACAGAAATAATCAAGAGTCAATATGCAAATATGAATAATCAAAAATTGAACTGTTTTTATTATAATCGTTATTATCGCTTTTTTAAAATTTAAAACGATAAGAGGCTGACTTCTAATTTGTTCATAAGGAATATATATGTGAAGAATGCATTGACAATAGTCGTTCTACAATTGCCACAGACAATATTATGGAAACGATAAAACGAGGAATGTTATATATATTTACTAGAAAGTACGTGTTTGAATTTCTAAATTAATATGCTCTTACAATTCATTCTTTTGTATTAATGGCACAATCCTTCTCTAAAAGGAAATAATAATAATAATAATAATAATAATAATAATAATAATAATAGTAATAATATTAATAACGAAAATAATAATAATAGTAATAATATTAATAACGAAAATAATAATAATAATAATAATAATAATAATAATAATATAATCCTGCTCCGCCCTCCCCTCCCGACCGGTCCCGGCCGGTCCTGTCCCGTCCCGTCCCGTCCCGTCCCGTCCCGTCCCGTCCCGTCCCGTCCCGTCCCGTCCCGTCCCGTCTGCCCCTCATTGCACGGGCCCGCACTGCTGTTTGTTACTATCATTGTTGTTAACATTTTTGTTGCTATAAGCAGCTCTAAAAACATGAGTTGTTGCATAATCCCGGCAAACGTCCAGTAACAATTTTGACCGTCAATTATTTTGGGTTAATTGTGCAATTTAAATGAATCAAAATTAACCAAATTTAGTACGAAATTTTATAGGCTTTTAAAAATGTCTAATTAACTTTGGTAATTTACGAATTGTTTTCGAAATATGTGCGGTTTGGAATAAGGGATAGATGTAATTTAGTAGCTCTAGGGACCGAATTTCAATGCAAATGCATATTTTTCCTCTGCAACCGAAAGATATGCTAACTTGGTATGTGCATGGAATACTCAATATTTCAATTATACATTGAAACATACTTTTGTAATATATATTTTGCCTATTTTCTTAATATGCATTATTTTTCGGAAAATTGCCCATTCTTCTGCATGAAAACGTTTATGTATTCACTAAGTAGTATATTTAATAAATTTAATATATAATTATGTACTGTGTGTTCAGATATACGTGATTTATAAGACATAATATCAGTTTCCTGTATGTGAATTACGCATGGAATTGAGCAAAAACGTCGAGATTGTTTTGAATATAAACGTGTCGTCGAGTACATCTTGAAAATAAATAAAGTTCATGTACTAATCATTGTGACTAGAACTCACTTTAGTCATTTGGGGGAAGGGGCAGATTTTAAGGAGAAATTAAAAGGAAACTTATGGAATCTTAAGGGAAAAACGATGCGAAAAAGAAAGGAACTTACCTTTTCCTGATATGAATGTGGCTACTAAGGGGTTCTCAGAAATTTGTTGAAACACGGTTCTAATGCTTATTGTTAAATGTATTTAGCGGCAGATATACAACTGTGGAAAGTAACTGTAACTACTTTCATTTTCTTTATTTATCTACTTTTTTCCCAATATTTCATTGGTGGTGTAGTAACTAGTACCAAATGAACGTACTGTACGAAAAAATGTAAGAAACAGTGTTATGACGGATTAATATACTTTATAAGACTTGTTTTCTGAAACACAAAAATAAACCCCCAAAATGAGCAAGTCTTAGATATTACTGTTCCACGTAAACGGAACTTGCTTCCCGACACAAGAAGGTATTTGGTAATCAGTAATACCACTGTTATTCTGCATTTTATAGCGTTGAGAATCAAGATCGCGAACCCATCAAGAAGTTGATATTTACCCAAAATAAGGGTAAATACAGGTAAATTGCGGAGCCAGGTGATCGAATAGAAGAGGGAACTTTTACACGTGTCTTTTAGTAAATCAAGACGATCCAGGAAAAGGGGCCATTTCATTGTGCTAGCTGAATCGAGGTTAATCGAGCAAACTTAATCGGCCAGCCCACTTAATCGAATTTGCCTTTACATCAGGTTTCGCTGTATTCCGTTCTAGAAAGACTTAAAAGGACTGCTATTAACAAACACTTGTGGATGGAACGAAAACAGTTGACCAACTTTTAGTATTGACTAATTTGACCATCACAAAAAGTTGATGTTTCCTGTGTTCATTGCAATTTACAAAATGAAAAATTGTGTAACTTTCGGAAATGCATTGATTATATTTTGTGTTACAGTTTCAAGGAAAGAGGAGCTCGGTATGCACTGATCATGTTACCAGACGAGCAAAAACGAAAAGGAGTGATATCTGCCTCCCTGGGTAATCACGCTTTGGCATTATGCTATCACGGAAAGGATCTTGGAATTCCAGTAACCGTTGTAATGCCAATAGTAGCACCCATAATGAAGATTCAATCGTGTCGCCAGCATGGAGCGGATGTAGTAGTAAAGGGAAAAGACATGGGAGAAGCGAAGCGGTGGGCTATGCAGTTGGGCAGAGAAAGAGGTCTCACTTATATTAACGGGTAAGAAATTTTATGCTTCAATTCAAGTAACTGGAATAAACCATTTCTTGATAATGGCAAACGTATATATGACACATTACAATTTAGAAATACAAGCTATATTCCAGCAAAAATGAATCACCTTCGAAAACATGCACGTTCGCTCCTCCATTAGAAACTCATCTACGTCCATTAAACTGGAAAAGTCACATTCAAAACTATTGTAATAACTTTAATAATTGAATTAATTAATCCAATAGATGATAGGTTGTATTGTTTGTTATAACAATATTAGACGTTCGAAAGTAACTTGTGCTGCACTGTTCATCATTTCATCCACAGAGGATGCAGCAGGAACAGCAGTCACATAGTAAAGCGACAACAATTTATTCAATTGTTGTTGAGCCACGACTCTTGACAATTCAATTTTAAATAACTCATTTGAAAATTATTGTACTGTATTTAATTTATTACTACTTATATTATTGCTATTGTACTTAAGATTTTTATTTATATTACATTTATTTACTCGCTTAAATGTATTATTTTTATTTTAATTTTATTAAGTTATATTATTGTTCTTTCAAATCTTTACACTTCTGGTACAACAACCCAAGACTGAAATGAAATCGGATACGGAAACAAATAAAACTGCACTTCACATATTGCAATGTTTTTTCTCGTGATATTCTCTCAGAAAAGCTCTTCACCCGACTTACATTCCACCTAAATTTTGTCGGAAAACACGCATTTGATAGCGAAAGGGCATGACCCCAAGATCTATTCTACAAGATTAAAGGAGTACTGCACAATACAGTTTCAATCAAACACGTTTTCGAAATCACGCGGTACATCGTACATGTAGGTTACAAGTCTTTCCGGGCAAATAAAGATATTTCATTGCGAAAAAAATAATAACCCCTTTCAATTCATTGTTATATTCATTGTTTATTTCCTACGCATATACCCCAGAAAAAATATTTGTAAATCTAATGCAATTGTTTAATTTAGATATTACTGTAGATGTTCTATGCGGATTAAGCTAAACTAAAAACTGCATTAGATCAGTTTGTATTTAAAAAATACGACTAAATGTTAACATAGAATATTGGGATTAAGATATAATGATCACTAGACCCAAATACTTAAATACATACGGTTTTCAGAGACACAAACACTGACACATTCAATTGTGAACGAATGTACTGAATGCTTTCTGAAGAAAAACTGAATTGTCGAATGTTCCTTACAAAATGTATTCTGAAACAGTTTACAATGCTGTTATCACTAACTAGTTTAATACATTTTCTACAACAATTTCGTTTTATTTCATTTTAAGTTTATCTCTCAAGTAGAGAACAAAAACTGTCCAAAAAAAAGCAAACGCTGGGTATTAGTTATATACAGTGCTTGATTTCTGGTGGTACGCGACGGAACGGCATTCCGGTACCAAGAAAATAATTATTAAATTATACAATAAATATATAATTATTTCTGTTTGATTACTAAGTAATTGAGGGTGCGTTCCGCGACTAAAAAGTTTATAAATCAAGCACTGGTTATGTAGGAATAAAAACTCCTAAACAAAACGCGTTCTTCATGGTCATATACTGCAGGAAACTAAAGACAATTGTATCAACAAAGATAGTTGATCTCATGCCTTTCTTTTATACGCGATGGTCTTTCTTTTATACATAAACGATATACCCTAAAAACGGAAGAACTGTTTGCTGGTAATGAATGTTCTTTGTAAAAAAAAAAATAATGGAAAATTTTCAGATGTTTAAAATTGATTTCTTAATAACAAATTGTAATTTTTCATTTCAGTCAATTGCATGGTCCATTGAAAATGCACAATATGCAATTGGTTAATGTCAAGGGAACAAAAGTTTTGGGTCCCCCAGTACAGTCAAATCTCACATGGAATATACATAAACATGTACTGAATATAAATTCGATCTCCATCAGGTTTATCGCCAATATCCCTGAGCTATTGAGTAAAGGCTGAGATGGTCCCGTTGTTTTGCTTCTGAACGTAAATGTAGCTTCACTATGAGGAGGCTTTGTTCAGCTTTTCTTTCGCCAGTTATTGTAGGTGTAGAGCCGTAGCGTGTGAGTTGCCATTTTGTTAACAATACTATAAAATCAAATCTGTGATTCGTTTACCGATGCAAATAAGTTTTCTATAACTCGGGAAGAAAAACTGTCAAGTTTTCAAAGGTTGCTAACCTGGATACTTCATTTAACTATGTATAGTAAATTGCTGGGGAAAGGATTCTAGAGCTCAAAAACACGTGCGAAGATTTATACTTCTCTCCATACATCACATATTACCCTCGCAACATTTCAAGACCGATGCCCTACCTATCCCATCCCTACTGCAGTAAACACTCGTATGTAAATGCTTGCTGGAAGCACGGATGACGATATTCTAAGCAGATCTTTGTAGGAGTGAATCAGGAGCTATTCGCTGATAAAGACGAGAACTCCTCTTCGTGTTTTTTTTCTCTCTCGAAAAAATCTAAAGAAGTGGCTAAGGCATTTTAATAAGTCAGGATGTTAAAACCCAATTGACAATAGCTAAGTTTCGAGGTTTGTTTGACGAAGTATTCAGGTTGAAAAATAATGTAGGTTCTTAGGTATTTAGTAATATTCAGAAAAATAAATAATATTCTGATGTGGACGATATCCAGATAAGGTAATGATACTCACCATAAATGATTTCACTAACATTAAACACAATACAATAATATATAGCTTTCCATCTTCAAAATTTAATTATTTTACATACAAAAAAAAGCAAATTGTGTAATTCTGGGAGGTTAAACTTTGAGTTAGAACAGCAGAATAAGAAATTGAAGGGTGGTCTAAGGTAAAGCATGATCAAAGTTCTGTACTCGTCATTATTACATTATACTTATGGCGAGTGCCTTTCATTTTCCTAAATACATCCATTTAATGTTCCAGATACGACCACCCTCATATAATGGCTGGACAAGGAACAATTGGTCTCGAAATAGTGGAGCAAGTGCCAGATATAGATGCCGTCGTCATACCTGTTGGCGGGGGAGGTCTGATTGCGGGCGTGGCGCTAGCAGTTAAAACTCTCTACCCACAAATCAAAGTGATTGTACGTAGATTTACATTTTTTGTACCGTGCGCATGAAGCTTAAACATGTGTTCATAGTACTAGAGAGTTGGATGGTTAGGTAGATTGTTACATCGATAGCCAGACAAGATGAGTCGAGAGTAAAAAACACTCCTAGTTCTGTTTTTGAGGTGGAGAAATATTACTCGACAAAATCACTTAAACATTTTCTCTTGTCACAATTTCTTTTGTTCAATAGTTGAATAAATATCGTTGAATTTTATTATCTACTTTTATTTTTAATGCTTTTTAATACTTTGGTCCCAGTTCTGAAGATCAGGTCAACCGTCCAAAGCTGCTAATCTAATGAATAAAACTGTTGGTACAAACTAGGGGATCGATGACATTTTAAAGGGGGGTCCAAGATCGAAGAGTTGATTGGGAGTCGATGTTCCAATATGAACCAGCAACTGGTCGTTATAATGAAGATATATACCCCATTAATAAAAAAAAAATATTAATTTTGACTTATAAACCTACAAAACACAAAGGAACAAATTCGTTCACCTTTGAAATTTTACATTCAAATTAATGAAATAGAAGTTTATGGCAATCAGAATCTGTGAATCATTTCATTTTTTTAAAAACTTCTTTGTATTTGTAAAATTAAAACTGATAATAGGCAACAACAAATAATCAATCAAATCTAATCGAAAACTTTGTCCATATTCTTTGCCTATTTGTTATATTTAAGTAATTTGTGTGTAATTATTTGTTACGATTATATTGTATGTTATATATTATACAAAAAATGTTAAGAGATCGATTATGAAAAGCATTTTTAAGGGGTCGATGAAACAATACGGTTTTAAGTCTTTGGTATAATATAATAAATTTTATTTAATATAAAACAAATAAAAACTCATAACATTTTCTGTGGATATACGTGTTTTTCGGAGTCCGAAGAGGGAAATGTAAAAATGATTTATAAAATTAAGAGGATCATGATTTTGATAATTTTTTCACCTGAAATAACTGACTGCAAAACACAAATGTAATAATAATCGGTTTCACCGACGTATGTCAAATAATTTTTGGCGAGTGTCAAAATTGACGGTCGTTCAAATTTTGACCGCATGGTCAATTTTTAGATGTGTCACTAACCTCGATCTACCTCAACCTGATAACAAGCCGTCGAAAACATTGATGGTCAATAAACGTATCTTCAAAACTTGATGTTTGACTATTCGTCAAGGGAATGGGCTCTGAAGAAACGGAAATGTAGCGTTTAACGAACAGTTGAACTCATTTTAAAAACTTAAATTATGTTGACGGACGTTAGTGGAATCAGCCATATGTATAATCCACCATATGCATAATAATTGATCTGTTGTTTCAGGGCGTCGAATCAGAACGATGTGCGAGTTTCACCAACGCGGTGAAAGCTAACAAGCCTGTGTATACTCCCATTGAATCGACTCTGGCTGATGGATTAGCTGTTCCTACAGTGGGATATAATGCCTTTGCTACAGCAGCACCTCTCATCGACAAACTGGTTCGTTCCTTGTATATTTATCGAGGAAACCTTTATTAATGCAAACTTTTGGGCGTCGATAGATAGATAATGTTTGTTTTAGGTCGCTTCAATCTCTTGGGTTATTAGCGACCTCATTTTCATTACATTTTCATTTTGGTCGTCGAGTGTCCTCGTTTTTTGACCTCATTGACTGAAGCCTTGACTGAGGCACCCGTCAGTGTTGACACTCTAATGCGATTTATGAAAGCAAATAGGAACAGACTTCGTTTTTTACCCAAGTTTAAAAATATTGAAGGACTCCGTCGACACGACAAGGACACATACGATTAGTACAAGGTTTGTAATGAACATCCGAGTTGAGAAAATTCAAGGGGCCTAAATGGCATGATCTTGCCGAAAAAGTATTGATGGAGAAGTGTCATACAACTTTAAAGGACTTAAAATATTTGCACCCATCTAATCAATAAACACTGAAAAAAGGTATGGCATTACTTTTGAGACAAACCTTGTAGATAAATGGTATTTCACTTTTAAAGGCGTAATACTAGAAGGTGAGTGACTGGCAATATCCAATGAGTATATTATTGGAAGATCCCACGTCATAACTTGTGGTGCTACAACAGGATCTACTTTCCCGCATTATTTATAACGGCTAGGAGATATTATAATACTGCATGAACCTGCAAAAGTGTTTCCAAGTAGTGGCGGCTCCTTGGGGTAGTCAAGGTATGCATTGCCTATCCCGATTGATATGTACTAGTTTAATGCATTTCATGACAATAAAAAATAAAGGCCTCTTTCAATTTTAATATGATGTAAATACTATTCATCTGGATATGTATAATGAACATTTCATTTTCATGGCATGAGCCATATTTCCATTTCAAGCGTTTTTAACAGCCCGAGTGCCATGTGATCTGTCTCTTCTCTTCCCGCAGAGACATGCGCCCGTTTGCACCTCTCCGGGTTGGTATTAAGGATGTGCGATTAAGTTATTTTATGTGTTTAGTGCAACAATCAATTATTTTATAAGATTAATCGAAAAATTGAAATCGATTATATTTACACCGATTAATCTACACATTGTTTTTCCGATTTTTAGCTCGATTCAATTATTAATTTTCGAGACTAACAAAATATAGAGGTACATCTTTACTTTTGAACTTTCGCACGCCCAGGGCGCTGCCTCGCTTCGCAGAATATTCTGAGAATAAGCACTGTAGTGAGCTTATATCAATCCCTACTTGACGCATGCGCGTTGTGCGTAGGATAAATTCTCTTGCTGACGGAAGACTAATCACTGAAGACCTAAGACATTCATTTGCAAGCAGCGTAGTTCATGTCTTTTTGTTGTCGAGTTAACGGAGAAAGTGATTCTGATTCAGGAAGTATGTATTTGTTTGTTTTAAATGAATATGCCGCGGACGATTGGAGTTAAATGACTTTTTATTTAAATCAGAATTTACAATAATATTATAGCTTAATGTAGCAGATACAGTTAATGAACTACTATGTACACAGTTTTCTCGTCATAACGATGTAGAAAAGAGAACTTTTGGACTGTGGTCCACGTTGTATTGTTGGCTGTCTTTTTTTGTCAATTAAGGAGAGTACTTGGAATAGAGATGGATGTTTTGACATGAAACATTTTATCAAAAGTTATACTAAACCATGAAATATCAAACGATCACATATGAAACCTTTGAAATACTTAATACCACTATTAAAAATCCAAGAAATCCAGAGATTTGCGAATGGAATCAAAACCTTTTTGGAATGAACGCCAGTACATCAATTTTAACATTAGAAATACTCCACTGTAGAATTCTTTAAGTTTTACGTGTTTAGTGGCACAAGTGATTGTTCGATGAGAACGTGAAATGCTCAAAACTTTGAATTACTCCAAATTTTGGATCATCTTGGGGCCGACTGATATGTAAACAAGTCGTGTTGTCTGTGAAAGGGGAAAGAAAAGCAAATAGCATAATCACAAGGACATGGACATACTCTGTACATTTTTCATTGTTACAATGAACGGAAACTTTCCCAATCTGTCGCACATGTCGATAATTCGGCGAAATGACGCTTATACGGCACACTTTGCGAATGAGCTCGAAACTAATAGCTAGTTTTAATGAAAAATGCTAAAATGTATGTTTAAACTAATGTGTATTTAAAAGATTATGTTTAATGATGAAATATGAATGCATTTCATACAGATTGTGGTGAAAGAAGAATGGATAGCAATCGCCATTCTTCGCCTAGTGGAACTGGAGAAATGTGTGGTCGAAGGAGCAGGTGCTTCTGGGTTAGCTGCGATCCTAGCTGGACATCTGAATGAAATGAGGGGCAAGAGGTGAAGAATTAATTATTTGTTTTTCTTCTGTGGAATCAATGCGAAGGCAGTGGAAATATCTTGTTTTCGTTCATCAAATAACTTTAGAAACTTTCTACAAAACAGTAATATATAATATAATATATTGACATAATTGAAAATAAAATGTATGTATGTTCATATGTGTATGCATTTTATGTGTTTTCCTTCTTTCTAGGGTGGTTCTCCTCTTGTGTGGTGGAAATATAGACACCACAATTTTGGGTCGATGTCTTGAACGTGGGTTAGCTGCAGACGGGCGTCTCATGAAATTCAAAGTAACAGTCAGCGACCGTCCAGGAGGTATCGCAGAACTCTGCCGTCTGATGTCTTCCATTGGGGTATCCATCAAGGATATCGTTCACGAACGTGCTTGGATAAAATCAGATATATTCAGCGTGGAGGTCAGTATCATAATTTCCATCAGTAAGTATTTAAGTGGTCCAGATATTGTATGCGTTCATAAGTACTTTGTTTAATGTGGACCAATATTTACCACGAAATGAGCATGCAATGAATGAGCCGGCGTCATTAGCCAATTTACTCAACTGCGCTCCGTGAAGTTACAGAAGTTAAGCAATTCGAGTCACCAAGGATTCTTGGAGGGTGACCATCTGGGAACCCCATGTACTAATGTCACCGAGGTTCCTGCCAGAAGGAATAAAAGGCGCTTACTGAGACGTGACGAGACAAAACGTTAACGGAGGATAATTCCAATACGCTCAATGCCCAAGAAGGGTTAAAGAGATGTATTGCAAAGCTGCAACTGCTGCAAAAAAAGTTTCAATGTGTTTTCAACTTAGATAGTATTACAATATTACTGAATAAGTGTACTTTGTATCATAAATATTGGTCAGTTCTACAAACCATCCTTTAAAATCGACTAAGTCAAACTCTATCGTATCCGCAAGGAATTGATAATCAAAAAGAAAAATAATGTTTTTTTTTTAACAAAGCAGTGATATGTAATGCATTAGTTTACATTTGTATTGTATTTTTATAAAAGAATGTGCTGTAAAATAATTTACTTTAGCTTCCGGGTCATTGACCCCCATCTCGATCAAGTTTTTGACCAGTTTCCCTGATACATTGAGCAAATGCTGAATTGCTTGTTTTGCTTGAAATGGTGCCCTTGTTTTGCTTCTGGGCGTAAATGTAGCTTCACTATGCGCACGTTTTGTTGAACTCTCCTTTTGCTAGTAGTGGTAGGAGTAGAGATAAGGGCGAATTATTATTTTCTTAGCAATGCAGAAAAATCAAATCTGCATTTCGTTTCCTGTTGCAAATAAGTTTTCTATCACTCGGGAACAAAAATGCCTAGTTTTTCAAATGTTGCTAATCACGCGTTTTTTAAATTTTATTTTTATTTATTTATCTTTAACTTTTATTCATCTTTCAACAATCTTTATATTCATATATTTATAGTTAAAATGATGGGAAGGTCTTCTGGAATCCAAGAAAACGTGCGCAGATGATCTTCTCCCCCATACGTCACATGCAAATTTAACGGTTTGTTGACTAATGAACCTAATTCTAAATTGTCGGAACGGTTTTAAACTTGGCAGTCGGTTACGCCAGCCGTCGTCTGCACCGAGGAGACTCCAGGTTCGCTTCCTGGGTAGACACGGTCGTGTTCCTTTGCCCCTCATCCTATCATCTCATAATTCACACTTCAAGGCGTAACAACCTTGGCGCATTGAGGGATACAGCTGAAAAGCTGATACTGGAAAAATTACACACGTTAATCGTATAGCATGGTCAGTAATGGCCTATACTCCAAAAATAATAACAACAATATAATAATAATAATAATAATACACCAACAATAACAGCCGACCCAATGGCCGAGTTCCCTAAAGGAGTAGTGCAGTGGCGGCCTGGGACCAAAGATCGCGGGTTCGAGTCCCGCCTCGGGTATAGATGTGTTGTGTGTGTGTATATTTCATCATCATTATTTCATTTCGTCACCGTGGGATAAGAGCCCTATGCTATAAAAATGTATTCAGCATTAAAATACTGATTCCAACAATAGAAACGTGTTTGGAGATTTGCTTGTTTTTACTGATGCTATGTTAACAAGATCATTGACGCGTCCCATCTACCGACATTTTCCACATCACAGTTAAGGCGTTTTTGTAGAATTATAAAACATTAAAAATTTAAGCTAATTGCTGTCTTATCTAAAATTTATATATTTTTTTGTGAGATTGTTTTTTACAGGGATATGTTATTTGAAAATAACTACCTTTAGTCAGACGACACTATTCGATTATTCAATATTTATCTTAATCTATTGTATATAATTCTGAATTTCTACATTTTAACATAAGTTATGATGTATGCTTAATTAACACATATCTTTAAAAACATATCTAACACATACATTTAAAGTAAATCACTTTGATTTTAGAATGGTGAACTAACACCAATTTGTTGATTTTTTACCTGTCTTTACAAATCATTATAAATACTAAACAAATATAAGTTTAAATCTCATATCTAAAATTCGTATACTATAGCATGAACTACAATTCTTTATCTAACTAGAACATGAAGTGGATGTAAACATTGCCACAAGGATAGACAGTCTGATTGGCCGCAAGTCCGCGACACACCTTCCTCCTTGGACTTCGTTAAGTACACGCTTAATAAAATAGTTTCATGAAATTCAAGTTAAGATCCGTAATAAATAAACCTACGTAACCTACGCGTAACCTACGTACGTAACCTACGCGATGTGATACGCATGATTCTGTATAGCGCTGAAATAATGGAGCATTTTTCGTGGAATAAAAAGATAAATTCAAATAAATAATGGAACTGTTTTTACAATTACTTTATATCTTGGATTCTTTCTTATTTTATTGTTTGGAATGTCATCAGTGCACGCTGCGAGCTCTTGTCTTCAACTGTTTATTGTGTCAGGGAGGGGGAAGCAAGGTCGTCGTTCAAGAAAAGTTGCGCGAGTTATACCAAGTTGAGAAGCTGAGGATCTAAATCAACACTATAAGTTTAAAAATCATATTTGTCTTTCTCACAATGAAATGGATAATAATTAGATATTCATACGACTGAGAATGATTTTTACTATTAATTTTTTTTCAGCATTCCCTAGTGTAATAAGTTGAAACCACCTCATTTAAGAAAAAACTTAAGGCACTGGGGGTCAAATAAAACAAGTTCATTCGACAATCTTTCAATGACAAATAGTGAAATACAATAATGTTATACACGAAAATCAATATATTCATTTCCGTAATAAAGGATTGCTTTTCAAAATGGCTCCGCTGTTTTAATTGTCTCCTTCAAGTTTGATATGTCCGAAAAATAAGGACGTATTTTAATTTTCAAGATTAGCTTGTTTGATCTAAAAAATAAGTAATTTCAGAAGTAAATGTTTAGTAATAGAAAAATAACTCTATAAAAATTAAGGGATGAAAAGTGTTGTTTTTTTTTCAAATTGAAACAAATATTTTTTACCAGAACGCGTCTTAAAATTTAAAAAATTGAAACGTTTCAGTCTTGTAGCACTTAGGACCGAATTCATAGTCACTTATAAGATAAGCGCACCCTTAAGTGATAAGTGCTTTCTCAAATAAGTATTTACTTATAGGCGCTCGTATTTCATAGACGTTCCTTACGACCGCGGAATGACTGTTTCCTTAAGCGGAAGGGAAATGTGGCATTGGCGGCAGCTACTTCGAAGTTCTTGGCAACCGAGATTACACGCGCACTTCATCTTGTACAAAGTACTTTTACTTGAACAAAGAGCGTTTAATTTAACAGGGGGCGGACACTCCAACGTAGAGTTGACGTCGCGCGCACGACGTAAACCTCTTACTACCTCCAATATGTCCTCATACAGACAAAATGAGATGTTTTGATATTGATATATTTTACTAATGTGTTTATTAGCAATCACTAAATAACAAGCAGATTTGTAACAATATAATCTATGATTCTCATATAATTTCAACGACTATTTGACACCGGTATCACTTTAAAATTTAAAAAATGTATTTATTACAAATCCCTAATAATAAGAAGTGTTTAGTAAAAAATATAATCCATGAACCTCATATCAAAATTTTAATGAATCTCTGCAATGTCTTGTGCATTTTCTACATATTATTTATGTGCATTATTTAATTGTAATATAATACTTAACATCAGTTTCGATTGATTCTACAACGTTAACTTATGCTGTAGTATAACTAATGTACATGGTATGAAAATATGTCCGCCAATATTGGTAATGGATTATTAACATTTCATGTAATTGAAAATGTCAACCCAATATAGTATTAACATAAATTCCATTTTACAACAATTTAAATTACTTCACTTGTTATTCAATTGCAAATTCATAATTACTTATAATACGTCTTATAAATGAGTAATGAATAAAAGTTAAACATTTTGGAAACATTCCTGAAAGGATGAAGTTGCATAAATCTTAAAGCAACGAGAACTTTTAATAAGGGGGAAATTGAAATTGTTCATCATTGTACATTTCCAATGGGTTGCTCATATCTCTAATATATCTCTTTGAATTTCACACGATGCATTGAGTATAAAACTCAAAATTATCTTGGAAGTCGTATTCCATAACACATTTCACAAATGGAACGTTTTAACTGGCTACACTATACAAACACCAGCAAAACGAATTCAATAATTGGTGAACGCCGCGTAAAAGTATAATCTAAACTGGTTACGACTGACGATGCGAGGGAGCCTTAAGGGACACGTAAGGGAGCAGGCTGCCTCGCTTATAGGAATGAGTGCTCACTTAAGACTCAAGGGCTGTTAATGAATACGATTCGTCCACTTAAGGGAAACTCAATGTAAGTGACGACTATGAATTCTGTCCTTAGAATGGCACATTTCTGCCATTTTCTGAGAACCATTAAAAAGTGGGTTCCAAATTTTTATTCCCAAACCCTTAACTGCCAAAGTGCATCAGATAAGGAAACACAAGGAACAGTGGCGGCGTCTGGTATCTGTTCGGTGAATATGTCGAGTGGGCCCCCTATCTGAGAAGTAAAGCCTGCTCAGTAGGTAGTGTGAATCTCGGTGAAATCGGGCTTCTTTAATACGAGCAGGGGGCATTATGGACCGTTTCTTACACCGCCATTTATTAGGAAGAAAGAATTTGGCACCTTCCAGCCAATTCTCGTTCGCTGTGAGTTTTGTGCATCCCCTATGAGATCTCCAAAATGTAAAAATTAAATATTTGTGAATTTCAGGTGAAAGTTGTCTGCGAAACCAGAGACATGGAACATGCCCTCCTTCTGAAAGAAAAACTTCACCAGAATTATCAACATGTACTCTTTGGAGAAATGCCTAGCCTGGAAGAATCACCCTTAACTGATGAACCTGGTCACGACTGTTCAGAACAAAAGTCAAATTCATCTACAGAATGAGTAATAAAATAATTAATGCATTTTCGCATTGGAGCACTATTCAATTTCATTCTTATTTGATCTCATATTGAAGACCTGAGATTATTTTTCAGATTTGAGTGTGTAGTTAAGAAGTATTGGAAGAGAACTATGTTCTCTTTGAAATATATTTGAATATATAGCTTTAATTAAATGAACATATATTAATACTAAAAATGTATCGAAACCAGTTATCCGTCAGATAGCTCAATAGTCAAGCATTCAATTTTTTCCTTCTGCACTGGCAGTCAACCTTTTTGTACTGGTAGCAAATGAAATTTTTATTTTGTACTTCACAGAAATAAATGGTATTTATACGATATATGAAAATACGAAATTTATTTACAAATTCTTTTCACCCAGCTTCTCGTTTTCATGCTTAAATTTCAACCCCCGACTATTTCGCCTAATAATGTGACTAACGCTTTGTAACTTTCTAATTCTTTCATTCATTTCTTCCGGGATCTCTCACATCCTGCTAGTGTAGTCATTTTGTGGTTTGTCATCTGTTTGAGTTTTGCTATCATCACAACTTAATGGTAATAGTTCATGGAATATCTTTTATGACGTAATGAGATCGTTTGTTTCAGTTTTCATACTTTTGGCGAATCGCCTTCCCCAACGATATGGGGTTTAGTCCTAGCTTCCAAAGTTCGCTGTTTCAAACTCGGTAATGGTCGTTATATTTTCAAAGCGTGGAAAAAAGAGAGTGGATCTGGTCAAGCTTGTGTCGTGTGAATGAACCCTGGATAAATTCCCGACAAAATTAAATCTTCCGACAATTCCCGACATAATGAGATCCTGTATTGGATCGGCGAGGCAACGATACAACTAACGGATAAATAACTGATACTGTTGTTGTGTCGTCCAACAATAATATTCGTACATTTCTTCTAATTTGTAATATAGTCCGTTATAAAGGGAAGGCATAATATGACAAACAGTAGTTCAAATCTTATTTAGCATATGCTTTCACATGTTCGTTCTATTGTAGAATTCGGAGCTGCACATTTGGAATTATACAAAAAATATCGAAGGCCACATCCAGGAGTTTATTTTTAAAAAAATGTTTTCATCCCATGGGCTAAAAGGCCTTATAGAAAGGAGAAACATAAATACATTAATGTATTGGAAAATTCCTAAAATTATTTCTAATATGCTTATTCGGCAAGAACTGTATATGAAAATTTTGTTTAATTTTATTGATGGTTGTTTAAAATTAGGGAAAGGGGGAATAGATATATTCTTTGGAATTTGAGAGTTTTTTGTTGTTTTGTTTTAAAGAGGTTGAGAGATGTCTTTGGGGAATCATGATTTGATTGTGTGGGAGGTGTTTGCTTGTTCACCTAATTCAAAATTTGCTGCCCTTGGACAGTATGGTAAGAATGTAAAAAATTTTGAGGGTACACTGATAAAATAATATGTACTTAGAGGTACATGAAGTTCATAATGAATTTGGCTATTGGGTATAAGCCATGGTGCATTGAGAATTCTTCTAAGAAATTTGTTTTGGAAGATTTGGATAATGTTAATATTGCTAGATGCAACGTTTATACAAGCTGGATAGGCATACGTCAATGTGGGTCTGATGATGGGTTTGTGAAGTAATTTGGTTTTAATTTTGAAAGATGCTACATTGATGAGTGGACATAGTTGAACAGCTTTTCTAGTTACCACTTACGCAGTGGAGAGAACGCTATGTAATGCTGCGCGAAAAAAACAGCAAATTTTCAGCAGAAAAACTCTCATTACAGGGCCTGTTAACGATAATAGCCCTGAATACATTCAGTTGCTAAATTTAGAAAAAAAAATATCTAACACGTGGTGTAGTCAGAATCCATGTTTTGTGGGTCCTTGATACCGCAAAATCGAATGACGGCAAAAATGTCTGTCTGTCCGTCCGTCACCAACGCTAGCGGCTACACCATTCATCTGATTTTCTCCAAAATTGATATTCACCAGTCAACTAGACTGATGTCGCGGCCCCTTGAATTTGAAATCGATATTTTATTTTTTTGGGGTACTTTACCTGAAGACCCTGAGACATTTTCAAAATTTAAGAAAAATAGCTCCATCCATTTTGATCAAATTTTGTTGTTGAATGTGTGAGGAAAGTTTAAGAGAATGGTGCAGGTCTCATTTTCGTTGAAAATTGCAAAAATTCAAAATTCTTTTGGTGTCTCCTTACAACTACAATTATGAAGATAAGAATTTTTTCCTCTTAAGGAAATCTGTTCCTTAAAGATAGATTGTGAAATAAGGTCATGTACAATTTTTCTAAAATTTTAGTACTTTTTGCGTAATTTTGCATGAAAATACGAGCTAGAAAGAACGTTCTGTTTTCGCACCACTAGTATACAACTGACTTAATGTGTTGTTTCCATGTTAAACATGTCTTTTAGTTCTCAGATATTTGATAGGATGGAAATTGTTTGATTAGGGTATTTGGGGGTTATTTATTGTTTGAAATGGTGTGTTTTGGGGTTTTCTGGGAGTAAAGATTCTTGTTTGGGTTTTTACGGGATTATTGTTGAGTCACCATTTGTGAAACCAACTAGTGAGGGTATGAAGGTGATTTGTATAGGATCATATGCTAATAAAACGTTTTTATGAGATGAGAATAACGCTGTGTCATCTCTATAAAATGGTTTGTTGGGATTTAGTGCTGTGGGATGATCTGCAGTAATAAATATTGAAAAGAATGAGAGCAAGGACTGAACCTTGAGGGACATCTGCAAGAATGTGTGTGTTGGAAAGAATTTGTTTAACTTTGACTTGGAAGGTTCGGCTGTGAATAATCGTTTGGAGACAGTGAGGAGTGCCAAGTTGCTGAAGTTTGTAAAAAATGCCTGGATGCCAAAAACTCTCAAATGATTTAGTAATGTCTATAAATATTGCAATTGTATGCTTTTCTGAATGAAAACTATTCGCTTTTGTTCAACTATTCGCAATAGGTGGTGAGTTGTTGAGTGATTAGGCTATAAGCCAAATAGTGTTTTGGGAATAGCGTGTTTGTGTGTAAGAAATTGACTAGTCGACTGAGTATTAATTTTTGAAGAATTTGGCTGTTAATGGGAGCATACTAATGGATCTAAAGTTAGAAGGGTCGATAGTATTACTTTTCGGCTTATTAAATGGTAAAATGATTGCATGTCACCAAATTTGGCGGAAATAGATAATTTGGAGAGTGCAGCAGTGATGGTGGCTAAATAAAATTCAAAATTTAAGGGCTTTATATCTGGTGACGCAGGTTAGGTCGGTATCAGTAATACAAAATTTGGTTTATAAAAGTAGAGTCGACCACTCTTCGAAAATATGATGCAGAAAGCTAAGCACTGATAAATTCTCCTTTGAGTACTGAACTACTGTAAATTGGAACAAATTACCTGCAGAAGCACGAGATGCATTTTTTCTCGGACCAAAGGCCCTCGGGCATTGAGTCGCCGCTCGATCTTTAGAACCAGTTAGCGCCCGTGGTACATCCAGGATTTTATTTCTTACGTAATTTTAATGATTCATATTGACTTATTTACTAATTAACTAGTAAACTGGACTCGATTTGTCTTTTCATATTTCCCTCCCATAATTATCACCATAAGAGGACATGTAGCACAATCCAAGCATGAAGTATACAGAAACATAATTAAAATACTGAACGAATATGAAGCGGAACACACTTTAACCAAAACAAAACAGAGAATTGCGTTTTCTTTATATTCACCCAGTGGCGGCTTGTAGGGTAGTGACAGTGGGCCATGGCACCAGCAAAAAAAGAGAGGAAAAGAAAATATCCACCACAAATATATGTATAAAATATCGTTTCTTAATTTTTTGTTCTCGGTATTTTTATTTGTTCTTATTCTTTTTTGGGTTTTCAGTTTAATCTTCATTATAACGTATAAACAAGGTCAATGAAAAAATTAAATTTTGTTGCCCACGATTTTTAATTTAGATTGAACCAATTTTAAAACATCGCGTCGACGTTTATAAACATCGATGTTATTATTTTGAACAACGATGTTTTGGAATCGATGTCACATCACTAACTGGCACCACTAATAGAATTCCGTACCGTAGCAACAGAACTGTAGAGTTTTATTGAATTTGAAATGACTGCTTGGATATTTTGGGGTTTAATGAACATAATATAGCGACCTGAATTTGACGCTGTAAAAAGTAAACAAAAAATGAAACCAACACCAGTATATCACCAATATTCGTGCCAAATATTTTGAATATGTATTGAAATTAACTGAAATTCTAAACTAGCACGTGCATGTCATGGAATTCGCATTTAAAATGTATATTGACGGAGTAAAAATAATACCATACACAGGACTGAAACATAATTAAAATACTGGACGAAAAAGAAGCGGAATACCACACATTTCAACCAAAACAAAACAGAGCATTCCGTTTAGTACTTCGTTTTTCATTCACTCCTTACGGAACGAAGGAGAAATCAAAGACAAACTAAAATCTGAGGCCAACGTTGTACGTAACATACATAATGATGACCTTATCACCAAGAGATGCCAAATATATCATATGAGATCATGTAAGGACGCGAATCACCCTCCAATTAACCTACTAGATAAGTCAACACCTATACAGATTGACACGAAAAAAAATTAATTATGAAACCTATAAAATGTGTCATAGCTGTGATTTATCTTTGTTATACTGTTATTATGTTTACATTCCCTTAATGTAACAACTCTAATGAACAAATTGTACATTTGCAGAAGAGCAATTTTTAAAAAAATGAAATGTTAACGTTTCGAGGTTTCCTCTACGAGACGTCTTTCAGCGTTCCTATTCATTCGCTCAGAATACTGCAATCGATTTCGAGATTTCAATGGAAGTACATGTTTTGGGGTCATCTGATATGTAAAGTGTGTTATTTTTCTCTCGAAACTTCCGTCCGTCGGCCCGCTTGTCTATGTGTACACACTAGTGCCTACACTAATGGTAGAGTTTTTACCAAAAAGCATTCCATTATCGATCTGCCCGGACTCGTGGCCCTGCAATTTGAAGAAATAAAATCTTTAAATATTGTGGGTAATTTAGTTGAAGTGATTTTTTTCTTCCGATGAAATTAGTTCATAATCAGTTCTTTATAATAGTACTTTATGCAATTAATTTATAATGTTAAGCTTTATTGCATGAGTACATGTTTTGAAAACGAGCGACTTTTCAAATTTGTACGAATGTAATAAAGCAACATTATAAACGAGTTGCATACCATATTTTTTTTTGTATAAAACCATTATACATTTATAATATAATCAAACTTAATTTTGCGAAACAACTTCCCAGTGACAACTCGGGT